GAGTGCAGATTATCGAAGAAGAAGAAAGAAGCGAACGCGGTTGACTACATGGCACAAGATGTGTCGGAGCTGAATCTCGCAGCAGTCATTTCTGAAGTAAACATGGTGGGTTTAAACCCTAAAGAGTGGTGGACTGACACCGGTGCTACAAGGCATGTGTGATATGATAAAGAGATGTTTGATACGTTCGAAACTGTTGAGAATGGGGAGAAGTTGTTCGTGGAAAATTCAGCAACTTCAGAAATCAATGGTCAAGAAAAAGTGGTTCTGAAGATGACCTCGGGAAAGGAGCTGACTCTCAACAACGTGCTTTATGTGCCTGAAATTTGCAAGAATTTAGTGTCTCGGTTGCTTTTGAATAAGCATGGTTTCCGCATTGTTTTTGAGTCAGACAAAGTCATTCTATCAAAAAGTGGAATGTTTGTCGAAAAATGTTATATTTCCGACGGTATGTTTAAACTCAATGTAATGGTTGTGAAACCAAAAATGAATAAAACAAGTTCTTCTGCTTATTTACTTGAGTCTTCCAATTTATGGCATGGTAGATTAGAACATGTTAACTATGATACTTTACAAAGACTAGTTAACTCTAACTGCATACCTAAGTTCAATAACGATTCCAAACATAAGTATAAAACTTGTGTCGAAATAAAATTGACAAGGTCATCGTTTAAATCAATTGAACGGAATCCAGAACCACTAGATTTAGTTCACATACTACGTGTGTGATCTAAAACTTGTACAAACAAGAGGTGGCAACAAGTATTTTATTACTTTTGTCGACGATAGCACAAAATACTGATATGTATATCTGCTTAAAAGCAAGGATGAAGTTATAGAGAAATTTATTCTCTATAAGAATGAAGTTGAGAATCAACTTAATAAGAAAATTAAGGTGCTGCGAAGTGATCGAGATGGTGAGTATGAAGCACCATTTACTGAATTCTGTGCACAACACGGAATCATACTTGAAACCACTGCCCTTTATTCACCGCAACAAAATGGTGTTACTGAACGGAAAAATCGTACCTTAAAAGAGATGATGAATGTAATGCTCGTAAGTTCTAGGTTAATTAAGAACATGTGGGGGAAACTGTGTTATCAGCAAATTACCTTTTAAATAAGGTGCTTCGAAAGAAATCGGAAAAGACCCTTTATGAGTTATGGAAAGGAAGAATGTCTACCTATAAACACTTGCGAGTGTGGGGGTGTCTTGTTAAAGTGGCTGTTCCACCACCAAAAAGGGTAAGGATAGGCCCGAAAACTATAGACTGTGTCTTCATTGGCTATGCACATAATAGCAGTGTGTATCGCTTTCTTGTGTATGATTCAAAAATTTCAGAAATACACAAAAACACGATAATGGAATCAAGGAATGCTACATTCTTTGAAGAAGTATTTTCATACAGATCCAAAGAGGAAGCAAGCTCCTCTAAACGAACATATGAGATAATGACTGAAAATAGTCAGAACGAAGAATTAGAAAAGGAGACTGAGGTTAGATGCAGCAAACGGGAAAGGACAAAAAAATCTTATGGTCCTGATTTTTTTACCTATATGCTAAAAAGTGAACCTCAAAGTTATCAAGAAGCAGTGAATTCCTCGGAAGGACCTCAATGGAAAGAAGCCATTGAAAGTGAAATAGATTTCATACTACAAAATCATACATGGGAGCTAGTGGATTTTTCTCCAGGAAGCAGACCACTAGGCCACAAATGAATTTTCAAAAGGAAAATGAAAGCAGATGGAACTATCGAGAAGTATAAGGCCAAATTAGTAATTAAAGGCTACAAATAAAGGGAATGCCTTGATTACTTTGATACGTATTCTCCAGTGACGAGAATAACATCTATTAGGATGATACTTGCGATTGCCACTTTGCAAAATCTTAAAGTACATCAAATGGATGTTAAAACTGCCTTTCTAAATGGAGAATTAGAAGAAGAAATTTACATAAAACAACCTGAGGGCTTTTCGTCACCAGGACAGGAAAAGAAAGTCTCTAAACTGGTGAAATTATTATATGGCTTAAAACAAGCACCAAAACAATGGCATGAAAAATTTGACAATGTCATGATTAAAAGTGGATTTAAAATCAATGAATGTGACAAATGTATTTACGTCAAAGACACTAAAGATGGATATGTCATCTTATGTCTTTACGTTGACTACATGCTTATTGTTGGTAGTGACAATAAGATGATTGAATTCACTAAAAATATGTTAAACTCGAAATTTGACATGAAAGATATGGGTATAGATAATGTTATACTTGGAGTGAAAATCTTAAGAACATCAAATGGGCTTGTTCTAAATCAGTCACATTATGTGGACAAAATTTTAGGAAAATTTCATAAAGATGATACTGGTTTGGCTAGAACACCAATAGATACGAGTCAACATCTGTCTAAAAATAAAGGAGAAAGTATCTCTCAAGTAGAATACTCGAGAGTTATCGAAAGTCTAATGTACTTAATGAGTTGTACTAGACTAGATATAGCCTACATAGTCAGTAAACTGAGTAGATACACGAGTAATCCAGGAGCTGATACTGGAAAGGAATTGTAAGAGTACTAAGGTACTTAAGATATTCTCGTGACTATGGACTATATTATACTAGATATCCAGCAGTCATTGAAGGATATAGTGATGCTAATTGGATATCTAATATAAAAGACTCAAAATCCATCAGTGGATATGTGTTCACATTGGGTGGTGCTGTCATATCGTGGAAATCCTCTAAACAAACGGTTATAGCCAAATCTACGATGGAATCTGAGTTTATAGCTCTAGATAAATGTGGTGAAGAGGCTGAATGGTTGCGTAACTTCTTAGAGGATATTTCAAGATGGTCAAAACCTGTGCTAGCAATTTGTATATATTGTGACAGTCAATCGGCAATAGGAAGGGCACAGAGTAGCATATATAATGGTAAGTCTAGACATATACGTCGTAGACACAATACCATAAGACAACTACTCTCAACTGGAGTTATCACTATTGACTATATAAGGTCAAAAGATAACATTGCGGATCCGCTAACCAAAGGGTTAAATAGAGAGTTAGTTATGAAATCATCGAAAGGAATGAGACTTAAGCCCTTGAAAGAATAAGTCATTACAAAGGAAAACCCAACCTAGTTGACTGGAGATTCCAAGATCTAGGTTTAATGGGAAAACCTAACTGTAAAGACTTGATAAAATCACTGTGGGGGTATTACCTCCTGTCCATTCCTATGATGTAACAGTGATGCCCATAAGGTTAAAGGTTAAGCAATAGGCTTTTCATGATTCTTATGCGTCGTAAATCGAGCCAAGTAATGCGGGTTACTTGTAATAAGAAATCACCTATGTGAGAGAGAAATGGGGTCGATTTTAAGAGAATTGGGTGGGGCTCAATTCTTAAGAACTCTCACAGAACCAGGTATATGTTCATGGCCAAAACGAACATAACAATGAGAACTGGATTGTGTTATGAAGAATCCTGTGTGAGGTATATCATCGTTTACACAAATGGCAGAACAGTTCAAGGACATCGCGTCTACTGATCAGCCAGTAAAGTAAATATGCTTTTACAAGGAAAGGTTCAAAGGGTAACACCTACCTATCCTATGTAGGATTCAACCGTTGAATTTTATCACCAAGTCTTGTGTCTCACGTTTCGTGTCTCTTCCAATTTTCATTCATGTGAGAGATTGTTGGAAAAAATTAAGTGAGCGACTCACTTTTGGCACAATTTTCGATGGGACCCGTTGGTCTAATGTGGAATATCAAAGTTGATATGTGTTCTCATTCGCGAGAACATCGATTTCATGTATTTATTTGCCAAAAATGAAGCTCGGGTTAATGAGGAATTGAAGCTCAAAGTTGGTCATTGGAAGTTGGTTTTGTGGGTAAAAAATGCATTTATCCTACATAGGAAAACTAAAGAAACTCAAACCACTTCATATATGGATAGCTTTGGAGATGTGTAATCATGTGTAGTATAGAGGCTCTCTCCACGTCCGCACGCAGGGGGTGCAAATCACGAACAGAAATGGCTTTCGGACCTTGAACTTGAGTGCGGGCGCGACCTGTGCACACGAACGTCGGACCGAACAAGGCAAAGTGGCCCCATTGGAGAGCCCACGTTTTGCCAAATTTTTTTTGCCTTCTCCAATGACTTTTGAGTTTCTAAACTGAAAAAACTCCAATGGACTCCCAATAGTCACAGTGTTAATGGGAAGTAACTCCAATAGACTCCCAATGGTCACAATAATAATGGGCAATATGCCTATAAAAAGGCTCATTCTCCAGCAATCTAAAACACTCAAAAATCTCACATACATTCCTGCATACACAGTTTCTTCTTTTCTGCATTCCTTGTTCAGTAAGGTCTTGTTCTTGTGGTGATATTGTTTGGATACTAGATCAGTTTGCCGGAATAGAACCGCAGTGCTCGAATTCTGCCTATTACCGTTGTATCCTGAGAGACAGCCGCTCAAACTGAACCTCCAGCACCTATGGTGAAGGGGCGAAACTGTCTTAAGGAAACTGTGCATGCATAGGCCTCGATTTGAAATCTCCTGCAGTTTGTGTTTTCTTTCTGCAGATTTATTTCGTTGCTGTTCGTGTAGTTTCTTTGTAGATTCAGTTTATCCTTGCAGTTTCAGTTTCCATTTATTTCTGCAGATTATTTTCGCATCAATTTCCATTTATTTTTGCAGATTATTTTCGTATTACTATTTAATTCATGCAGTTTGTAGTTCCATAGTGTGCAGCTTCCAAATTCATCGTTTACAGTTTTAGCCTGCAGTTAACTTATATTTCTGATTTTGTGTTGCTAAACATTTTTTCAGCCATTGGAAAATTCTGAAACGGAATTCTTTTGATAAATTGAAATCGTTTGCCTTGTGGTTATTAATTTCAATAATTGGCTATTGTAATTGAATAAAACTTATACAATTGGTTTCATCCACTAGCGACTTGTTTTCCTACAAGATCAAGATTGGATGTCTTTGATTCCAATTAAAACTTTGTGCAAACATTAACTTGTATTGAAGAACTCGACATTCTTGTACAATAACAACTTATATGATCACGGCTCCTATCTAACTTGCACAGCTTTTCAACTCTGAAAGGAATGATTTAGAGATTGAAAACTATGAGACAAATCTATCATAAAATGAACCCTGCGGTAGCACACCTCAAAACAAGGCTTATAAGTACACATCACACCAGCAGCAGCTCTTGGATACATGTCACAAAACATATTTACATGTTTGGGGACGTAGAAACAGAATGGGTATCACTGCCTCTGTACTGAAATACTTGTATATGCCTATATCGTGTACAAAAAATGTTGTCCACTAGTCTACAGCTTCTGTGTTTTCCTCATCAGGTTGCAGATCTCCTTTGGATAAATCTGTAAAAACTATAGTTAGCCTGTTGAGCAAAAGGTTCACACGCCTATGTCCAGTTGTATCCAAATCAACATATCAAAAATGCTAATACCTGAAACCTGGCTCTTGGAAAATTGAATTTGATTAATGGAAATATGGGGGATTGATATTTGCTTTTGTATTGGCTTTACTCTTCCACATTGAATATCCATTCTTGCATGCTGAGACCTGTAGCCATTGCATTGAATGATTGAGCAAATATGAAAAAGTCCATTTGTTCATTTTTTCAACTAACTTTTATTTGTTCATTTCAGTACAAAAATTGTCGAACCCTCGGTCTTCTATATACAGCTTAAGTGGACCCCCACCCCCACCAAATTAATTGACAACAATAAAAAATCAAGTAAATGACCATAAAGCCATTCATCATCTTGTAATTTGTAGTTGCTTATCTCACAAAGAAAGAGAGTTAGACTTACAGCTTCAATGTCAATTTTGTAAACAAGAAGCTTTCTTCTCTCTCTGCAACTGGTCCTATACGCCACAGCTACATGCCCAATTGCCAACACGAATGAACACACGAACAAGGCCACTTCCACGGCTCCCGAGCATCCGCGTCTAAAAACGTACGCAGCCTTTAACGACACGAACACCAGAGATAACACCGAACATATAGTGGCAATTCCTAAATATGGCCCCCTTGACAGCCTCGGACCGTCACAAAAACCGTAAACACCTGTACAATACAAAAATCCTTTCTTTATTATCATTATTATTATAATAAAAGAGAGAAACAAATTAATAAGAAAATGGGTTGTAATACTTACATAATATAATGGCTGATCGAATGATGGATACAAGAGGGATATCGATGAGTGAGGATCGGAAGTCATAGTTGTTCAGATGAGAAGAAAGAGCTTGTAAATTAAGGGAAAGTGAAGCCGATAATAGAGCCGAAGGAAGTAGGGCATCGGCGATGACTAGAAGAATGGGCGCTGAGAGTAAGAAAAGAGAAATTAACATAGTGATTAAAAAGATGATGGTTTTGATCCATCTTACAAATCTCTTTCTTCTCTCTTCTTTAGAAAATCCCATAATCTTCATTAGAGATCGAGAATAGTGTGTGAGCAAATGGTGGGTGTGGGCTTAAAAGAGATGAAGAAGAAGAAGGTGCAAAACTCAGAATTGAGTTTTGACTTTAAACTTGGAATGAATAGGTCAAATAGGGAAGGCTCAACTTCCACAGAAATCTCAATTAGGTTATCCAACTTTAGTTCTTCATAATCAGATCACTCAGCTTCGATTCTTTGTTAGCCCAGGGTTAAACTTAAGGATTTAATCCTCTCTTAGCCCCAAAATTTAGGCAAATGTAACACCTAACCTAAGCTCTGTTTGGGATGGATTTTGAGAATTGATTTTTTTGACCATTAAAAGAAAAGTGGAGTCCACCTGTGAGAGAAGAAATCAAAAATTATGGCTGAAATAGTGAAATAACGGTCAAAAAATCAATTTTTTTAGGTAAAAAATCCCTCCCCAACAGGCTGCTAATCATGTTTGTCGGTAAAAAATCTTGACGTCGAGGTAACCCGAAATTCGAATTCGAGCTACCTCCTTGAAATATATATGTGCTAAACTACTAGACAATTGGTGCCAACTTGCTCAACCATTGTCGTACAATGATTATGATAAATTTCTCATAATTGAATTTGCTGATATAATAAAATAGTATGATTATATTTTTAGGATGTTTATATTATTCATAATCATATTGAATTTTTGGATTCGTCTTGCATATTTATGATGAATAGAGCTTCGAGAATGTTTTGTCAAATTAATTATTGTTGATTTATTTTCAAATTTACAATCATGACTAGATGCAAAAAAAAAAAAAAAATGTTATTATTTTAGCGTTCACTTTAAAATATAATGCTAAGTTAGTGATAGGGTAAACGGAATGACCAGCATTGAAATAAATTAAAATTTAGTGATTTATTAAGACGAATTAAAATTAAATGGCTTAATTGAGATTTCATAATAGATCAGTGACCAAAAAAGAAGGTAACAGAGAAGGCTGCTATGTTTTTCTCTCTCTCAAATCCTCTGTTTCTTGTGTTGACTAACTGCAATACCTAATAAACTTCTCAACTCCCTCCAGGGAATTATTAATTAATTAATCAATTAGTATCCAGATTAATTTGGTTTTATTATTCCCCCACAAAGTCAATGAAGTTACGAATTTCAGGTGAAAGTTTCTCTGCCACTTCTCCTGCCAACAAATATTGGAATATTTCATCTTTGTAGAATAGGATGAGAAATTTCTTAAGGTAGGTTGTTGGAAATTCTCTCTCTCTCTCTCTCTCGCTCGCTCGCTATATTCAATTATAGGAAATGATTTGCTAATTAATTAGAGGAGAAATGAATAATAGCTTTCTTTATTGGAAAGGATTTTCTAATCAATTTTGATGTCAACATATTTTTAGGCACTTCGATACATTACACATTGTCCTCTTCCTATTTGCTATAAAAAAAAAAAAAAAAAATGAAGTGATGCACCAAAGTGTAAAAAATATATTGGTAACATCAAATTCGAGAAACTTGTCCATATGTTAACTTTCAATTTACCATATTAGATTATTATTAATTTTTACCAAAACATGTTGGAAATTTTTAAATAAGTTTGTTCAAATTTTTGATATATTTTGTGAACCAATCAGTTTTTTATGGCTAAAGTTCGAGTATTGACGAGTGTACTGTACGTGAAATATAAATTATAGTAATATGGGTCTTAATTAATAGTGTAAAATAATTCTATCTAGCATGGGGTTGTAACTAAAAACTCTATATGCTAATTACTCCATGATTCATAAAAACATCCTTTGGAGTTTCTTTGTTTGTTAACGACTGAATTATATTATTTGTGATTATCTGATTTCACGGTGTCAGATAGTATCTAATTATACATAGATGATCATGGTGTGCGATACGTGGATTGGTTAAAATAATAATTTGTTGATGGAATTTTGTGATTAAATCAGGCGGATATGGTGGAACCGACCCCAGACAATCATGTGCCCACATGCAAAATTTTCACCTTCCGAATCTTTTTCTTAATTTTCAGATTATGTAAAATTTTAAAATAAATAGATTACCAAAAATATTTCTAGATTCCGGCTTGTAGTTTGTAGCACGTGTTTCATATTTGAAAATGATTCGAATTTTGACCTCATGTTAACGTGACCGGTATTGGAGAAATCCCACTTACCATGATTACAATTCACTATTTATCACATTAATTTTCACGCATCGACGTCTCATCACGTCATCTTTTGATTTTTATTTTTTCCATCGGTTGAAATGATGCCTTCTTTGGATTGAAAACTTAATTTCATACCGATAGAACGTTGTCTTGTGCTTGTCAAGATGAAACTTTGTTTGGAGTGTTAATAAATATTACGTATTGTTTTCATTTTCTATCGTGTCTCTCACCCCTAACCCTAGCAACCGCTCTAGGAAGTTCTTGCTCCTTATGTGACTTGTATGTAATTTCTTTTAGATTTTGACAATCTTTATAAAAGATTCAAAAATTTTCGTTACTCTTTTTTCCTTTTTTTCCCGCTTCTTTTGGTTGGTGTGTTTTTGTGGGTTTCATTCATTGGTACGTCTTGTCTTGAATGTTCTACTCTTGTTTTGATTCCTCTCATGAACTCTCATTTCTCTTTGATTGCATTTATTTTCCTTTTCTTGACCATTGATATTCACTCTACCCTCGATTGAATGATAAGTTATTTCTCTAGATCCGTGTGTCTTTATGTTTTTATCTTGTAATCATAATATTTTTTTACTTATATATTAGATATCCTTCTTTATTTTTTTCCTTGAATAAGTTTTCTACGAATTTGGGTTATATTCGTCACGAGTAGTGAATTTGTACATTTTTTGTATGATCCTTTTCTTTAATTAATTTTCTTGAGTTTATCATTTTCTTTTGGTGTGATTACGGGGTTCATATAGTAGTTTTTTTCTGAATATTACTACTTGTACTAATGTAATTACATAATATTTTATATATAGATGAGATGTCAAAAAGAGTTTGGAAAAGTGTTTTCTTCTCCTGATCTAATCATATATCACCATATCATGTATATATTAACCATTATATACATCTAGCACAATAGTGTTTTTTTTTTTTTTTGGAATAATTCTTTGGGGCTTTATTGCATTTGTGTTTGCATATTAAATGGAAGAGTCGAGTAGCAAGTTGAGGCCCTTGTTTGGTCCTCATTACTTTCAAAATATATTTTTTTTTTATTTTCAACCATGCATTCTTCAATAAAATAATATTACACTTAAATTCAAAACTTTTTTTTATTAACCATACATTCTATCATCAAAATACTATTCCAAATACTTTTTGTACCAAAAAAATAAAAATGGTAATCAAACAGGCTTGAGATATTACTATGGTAGTAATTATTCATGATTGAATAAATGTACAAGTTTGTCCCATTGGGTGTTGGCCACCAGGAATTTGGTGGCTTTAAAAAAAAAAAAAAAAAAAAACTCGAGCCCTGTTGGTTAAGTTAAAAATAATTTTTTTAGCAAATTTTAATAAAAGTTGATAAAAGATATAATTAAAATATAAAAGTTATATTGAAATTAATTCATCAAGTTGATGATAAAATCCACATTCTAATGTACATTATGCACTTGTTACACAACAATTCTTTAGAAAAAGTGCAGGTCAAAGGGGCAATGTGCAGGAGAAATGGTTTGTAGTGAACCATTTTGTTAACATACCATCAAGCCATTTTTCATTAATCATTAGCATAATGACACGAGCCTTTATCGCAGTCTATGCAGTAAAAATTCAATTATTTGTGATCCTATAAAATGTATGGTTGAAAATAAATAAATTTTAGAAAATAGAATCAAAAGAATTTGATATTGCGTATCCAGATGGAATTGATTGCTAATTGACTCAATCCAAAGGGGAATATATCTGCAAGGATCCACATGTTGAATTGTAAATCTAAAACGTAAGTAAAATTTTTTGCAGGCACTATATTTAGCCATTGTTTGGCTCTCATTTTTAAAATTAATTTTTTTCTAAATTTATTTTCAATCACTCATTTTATTTACAATTTTTATCAACTTTCCAACTACATTCAATCGGTTTTTATCAAAATCTGTTAAAAATCTAATTTTTATAAAACCAAACAAATGCTTAGAAGACTCTCTAGACAATGTCTACTTTTCTTGTCACCTCAGCTGCATATTACTAGAACGTTTCATTGAAGATGAACCTTTGTAGACAATTATATTAGCTTATGCGCAATTTTTAGTGCAATTCACATTAATATTGGATATGTTTTAGATGGAGTGACTGAACAAAATATATATTTTCTTTCCAGATTAATATTTTGTAACCAAATTTAAGCATGATTTTGATTTCATTTAAGAAAATAAATGACATCTAGATAGCAATTCATATAATGTCATTTAAGAAAACAAAATGACACCTAGATTTCATGATCCCGATTTCATATATTGAATATTTTGAAATCGTATTACCTAATATAAATTATTTAAATTCTAGATTTATTTAAAATTGAATTTTGTAATTAGAATCCACACCAAGTGAGAGTCATCTGATTTTCGATTCTAAAAATCAAACCAATAAATTTTGATCAAAAGCAAAAAAAGAATAAATTAGTTTGATATGCATAATTTTGAAAAGTAGTGTTCACTCACTCGATCCCAATTTTTCTTTTTTTCTTTTTTTTTTCCTCACCATATTGAAGTATTATTAAGCGAATAAAAGGTATTATATCCTAAAGTTACGTCATTGCTTTTGTCACAGGGATAACGTTCCTTTTTGGGTTCCCTTTCATGTGTTACCAGGCATTAGATATAATGAAATTAGTCAATAGGCAGGATGAGATTCTTTCACGCAACTCTCTTGTTATAAGTTAAAACAAATACAGTAAGCTTTTGGGGAGGATATAAATTCTAACCACCAAATTACGATAACAAAAAATAAATTAACAAGTTCAATAAGTTGTTGAAGAAACAATTTTATACTTATAATAATTATAAATTGAAAAGGTAGCATTATATGATACCTAGATAGCAATTCATATAATGCTCTAGAGACTAATTTTGAACACGTGTACTTATTTATTAGACGTGAATA